GGTGAGTGTGCAACCATGTGCAACTAAATATCTTCAATAATGGAGACTTTTTCTGCACTTCTATTTTTTGCAGTGTTGTTTTTAGATGCCAGAAAAATGAGCTAGTCATCATGGTGGTGTACAAATGGATAGAAACGATTTTGGTTTTGGGAGAGAGAATGTTTGAGGAGTTAAAACAGGTAAATTGGCTCGTGGAGAATTTTCCTTTTCACAAGAGAAAAAGAAGATTAGGAAAGAAAGTAACGTAAGGAATGAAAATGACAAGCCAGGAACCAGCAGATCCCAGGCTCGAGAGATCTGTCATGTTCACATGGATCAGATGCCTTCTAAAGCTATCAAGAGAATGATGAAATATCTACTTAGAATATTAATCTCAGATGACAGACCAATAAATATGTCTGTTCTTCTGTGTTTTGTTGCGGGTTCATATACTCGGTATATATGGCTTTATTGTTGCTTATAGCAAAGACTCTGTGAGCCCTCTGAGTAAACTAGGTTCTCAGTAATGGGCTAATTGTTTGGAGAGCTGAGAAATAGAGCCATGTGTGGTGCAAGATGTAACATTTACAATTCTATCACTTCTTCTATAACTTATCAATTCCTTCTTATATCTTATTGAAAGTTACAGTTTTCTAACAATCATTACAATATCTATTGTAAACATATTCAAGGTCTTTGGACAACATAAGCGCTCTAGAGCTTTAGCTATGTGAACCTTTTTCTTAGCACACCTGAAAAGGTTTCTTAACCTTGCTAATATGCCTATTGTACAGGGGACCAATTTAAGAATTTAATATATAAATTCTGCATGCTCGCCTCTATGATTCATCTGTGATACACACACACACACACACACACACACACATATATAGACCATAATTATCAAAACCATAAATCATAAATTCATTTTTTCTATTTCATGCAAAAAGTCCAAAAGGAGTTTCCTTATGGCATGAAGGGCCACAATTATGTCAGTATATAGGAAACCATATTCAGGTGGACATTAAATTTCCTACACAACAACCTTTGACATTAGACTGATATATAAACCCATCCATCGGTGGCAGCAGATGGTACGTAGGTCATGATGGTACTTGGATTCTTTGTCTGTTTTTACAAGTTGATCTCAAGAATAACAAACACAGATTTTATCATATTATTCCCATCTCCTATTTTAGCCATAAAGCCCAATATAAGAAGACATTCCTGAAAAAAATAAATAAATAAAACCCAACTGAGTATACAATCCTAGTTCCTCTTTGTGTGTTCATAAAGAAACTATTCCCCAAGTAACCATACTCACACTAAATCTGAAAGAGCTCACGTTCATCTACAGTTCAGTGGAAACTCTGCCTGTCTAGGGTTTGTGGAGGATGGAATATATACAAATGCATAACTTTTGCATCACTTCACACAACCAATAGTAATGATTTTTGTTTTTCCTGCTAACCAGAAGTATTTTGGAACCATCCTAGAGGAATTATGAGCTAATTCATTTACAGTCACAAATTTCTGAGGAAAAATGTTTGGCCAACATCCAGCATCTAATACAGTACAATAAAACAATCAGACAAAGATATATAACAAATAAATGGGACAGACAAATGATATTGCATGAAACTAGCATGTCAAACAGCATGTTTTTTTTTATTGTTGAATTTTATTACCTTTGAACTCTGTATTCTAAAAGCTAGAATAAACTCTAGTTTGCTTGCAAGCGTTTCCAAGCATCAAAACACTGAATTAACTATCCCAACAGACTTTGGTGCCCAAAGACTTTCCTTCAGTTCTAATCATTGTTTTTTGTATAGTTTTGTTTGATAAGATCGTGCGGGGATAGAAGTCCCTTTAGTGAGTTCCTAAGAAGTGACACTTTTGTGGGTATTTATAGAGAT